AGCCGTGGGTGCCGTAGATGCAGACGCTGCTGTCTTTTATTATTATCATCCCTCCAACGAGACAATCTGACGCGTCGCTTGTCGTGTACTATGATGTTTCGAGGCTTCCCATTCCTTAAGACCACCTCAAAAAGTGAAAGGTCTCAGCTCACCATCGGGATCGTCGCGTCGCGAGCCATCAGAAGGGCCCGCGCTGGGGCTGCCTGGATTGCTTCCTGTGCCCATCGTAACAACACAGCTTGGGGCTGCCCGAGTGTGTACCTTTCTTTTGAGCTCGTTTCGCGTAAGATGTGAAGCCTCGACGAACTGTGTGAAACTGGTTGGAATGAGTGAGAAAATGACGATGTTTTGGCTGCGACTTTGCGTCGTAATCTCTAGCGGCCCTGGCTCCGAAGGTCAAGCTACCCTAGCCTGGATGACCCATGAATCGGACCACCCGTCAGTCAACCTAGTGAACGGGAAGTCTGTCCGAATCAAGAGTGTGGAGGCGGGGTTGACGAAAGGTGTGTCCGGGTGCGTCTGGGGGTCTAGGCTTTTCCTCTCAAGCAGGGGATTAAGGTTTGAATGATGGAATGCGTTTGTCTTACCCCTATCTCTGGTCTAAAGGGATTTGACGAGAAGCATGAGGTTAACGGACTGGAAAAGGTAGCAGGGAGTGGTCAAGCAAGAAGCAGGTGCGGCAGATTTAGATACCGAGTTCAGAGGAGTGCTAACCCGGACTGAGCCCGTGGCACATTTGATGACCGCCACGAAGGCCCCAGAAATTTGCCAGCCTGATACACACCACATCTACGGAGCAATAATTTTGCAAATGCCAGGAAGGTCAAGCGATCTCATTCAGGTCACTGGCGGCAGTGGATGCTATGGGGGCAGGTCTATCCGTACGGATACACGAGAGTATGGACAAGTAGCATCGGGACAGGGACACGGGAAAGGCCCAGTCTTCTTCCGATGTTTCTTCTGACGAGTGAGGGATCGCTCCAGCCCTTGCGCTACGATGTTTTCAGTGACACCGTCCACCTGCCAGACTGAGAAGAAGAGAGGGGAATCATGTCATTGTTGCCGTCGTCTCTGCCATTGATGACTGCAGCTCTACCCTAGAACCTACGTACAGGACCACCCCCTTGAATCCCAGCCTCTGTTCGCCTATGCCCTGTAGTACTGGTCAGTGGTGGGACAATTGGTGGCGTTTATTGGGTCTCATCAGGGCCGCTCAAGCCGGCGCCATCCATTCCCAGGTGCCCGGTTATCAGGTTGAGACGAGTAATGTTCGACCTAACTTGTTCCTAGCCCTGCATGCCCTGCTAGCTCACTGCTATTCGCAATATCTCGTACGCGCTGGGCGGCCAATCCTCCGTAGCCAACTTTCCTGTGGTTTCTTGACCGCTCCGTTCCAAGCGGCCATGAACTCGAATCTGCGAGGGACCACGTCCGCCTTTGACCGAATCTCTATCCCAGGCCGCGGCTCGTTCTTGTCGATCGCACTCCGTTAGTGAACTACGGATACCGCTTTGCATTTTCCGGCAGTGGATCAAGACCGTTGAAAGTGCAAGCAACTTCATTGTCAGATCAATGGGCTGCATCCTATTAATTCCTGAATCCCCATACGAGCCAAGAACCAGCCGTGTCCCTCGCCCAATGCGTATACTCATCGACCCGCATTCGAGGCGTGTTTCTCCTCACGACCCTTCGCTGCGCCTTTTGCTGGCAGGGCTGATATGTGACATATCACCTGGCGCCCAACTGCATCTCGGTCTAATGGGAAGTTGTAGCGGAGCTGATTGAAAAAAGCAACGAATGTTCAGGCCTCTATGCAGTCTCAGCCCACACGGACCCCGATCTCCGGCGGTCGGCAGTAAGATTTCCGATCCTGTTGCGCTTATCATGCTGTGTTCATTAACCCGCTGATGGAGGAGCATTGAGATTGAGAAAAGAAAGTCCATGACTAGTCCATCCTTTGATCGTGATTCTGACGGTCGACAAATTGTCGAAAATGACATGTAGCTTGCCACGTTGCCCAGACCTCACAGCATGCAGCGGGGAAGCATCGTTTAGCTGCCGGTCGGTCTGCTGCCTCGAATGGAGCTTGTTTACGACGCTAATGCGCCCATCGACGTTCCAATACCTACACTAGGCTCGGACACCGTTTTCGAACGCTCGTGTGCTTCGTATTGCTCACTCGATACTCCGTACAATGTATGAAATGCTCCAGCTCGCAGCTGGTCCAGCCGCCTACTTCGAGAGCCCTTTGGTTTGATGAGATAGCTGTGAATAGGCGCTCGAAAAGGACGGGGCCCAGGTTTACATTTCGGGACGTCAGTGAATGCTCGCGCTTCGGTGGCCCTCTAATTTGAGCATCAGTTCGATCTTCCAAGCCAATCGAAACATTCGAGAGCCCTACAAACCCTCAGGTCAGAGTTGATCGCTGAACACAACAATTCCCTACATTCTCTCGGCATTTCGGCCAGAGAAAATCGAGGTGACTTAATTTCCTACCTCATTCCCGAATGCATTTGAGATTGTCATGCGTATTTAGTGGAATGAGCGATTTTCATAGTTAGACACGTGATGTGCTGCTGGCCCCGTTCAGAGCTTGTCAGACTGAGGAATAGAGACTGCCTGAGATTCAGTGAGAGCACGATTGTCCATCGTCGAAATGAAGAAGCTGCCTACAGGCTACATGTTCCAATAAGGTTGCACTCATAAGTTATGCGTATAATTCTCATCCAAGACTCGATGAGTGTGATTTATGAAGACTCACAACTTGTTTTGGACTTTGAGTACTGACACGGGACACTAATCACCATCGCCATATTATAACATTATCAAAGCTCTTTGCATAGCGATTCTGCACACTATCCTGCATCTCGACTGGTCAAGTATCCGGACGACACTCACTTCTTGACTTCAACGACTACAGGTGTTGTCGCGCAGTTGCTGTGCGACATCATATTACCTGGATCTCAGTTCTTTTGTCATAATTATCCAGGTCCGTGTGAAGGAAAAGCGCGGAAACAGCTATTGGCTTTGTGCAGAATCCAGCCGCAGCTTGGTAACGAATGTCATCCACAAACTAAATTTAGTTTGAATATTCGGGTAGGCTATTCAAATCTCTCCCTTGTTGCTGTAGGAATTCTCCCCCGAAAGTCGCCGATCTCATAGTCCGTGGCCGAGGAGCCTTCTGGAGTCGTTCATGGGAGCGAGCTGGGGAATGCCGCATTGGTGAAGACGCCAATATGTGATTGGACGCAGCGGTCAGACTCTGGTCAGGAGGTCAACAAGACCTTACTACGGCAGACTGCAAGAGGCACTCCGCCAAAACACTTTTTGTCAATAGACTTACGGTAGCCGTATACTTAAGTATGCTAAAGTGCTATACGTGCCCTATATATAAATGAATATGATTATTAATCCCGTATAATATAATAAAAATTACTTATGACCGGAGGCACAGTAGATTATTGTTACGGCCAGCTAGTCGTAGGGGTAGTTTGCAGAAGTTGAGGCTGCGGAACTGGTAACAGTAATCGTAGCCGGGGATAGCTTCAGGGAAGCTATGTCTGTCAATCGTAAGGGTAGGTAAGGCTTCGGTGATCAATCGTAGTCTTGTCAAGGTGATAGCTGAAAGCGGATGTTAATCCTGATACGAAGTTAATTGCTGAAGAGCTATGGAAAGTCTGTCCTAGAGTCCGGCTCGAGTCCATCCTATATACAAGTCTTGATTCTGAACATATCCTTTATCCGTATGTTTACCATACGGATTCCGTATTCTGAACATACGGGGTCCGTACCTCAAAGTGATGATGATGATGATGATGTATTTAACGTCTGGTAACAAAAGGACGTGCCGGGCGCTATGCCGACATGGTCTATACTAAAACCGTACCTCAAAGGGACGGACTCCGTATTCTTGGCATACGGCTTTCCTTATCTTATCATCACGTGACTTGCTCCATAGTTCTTCCGTTCCGTAGGGTGACGCATGTGTTCCCATAGTTCGTGCACTTATGGTGTGCCCTAGTCGCCGTGGTCCTGCGGGGCAGGCCCTGGACTTGGTCGTGCATGTTGGGTCGTAACATACGACTAGTGTTACGAGCTGGACAAGGCAACCAACTGTGGCACAAAGCAAAAGCTTCGATAATGATGACTCCGGCATCATTGTCCCTTGTTCTGCATTATATAGCTACGCGCCCACAGTGACAAGTTGCGGCGGGCGTAACAACTAGCTGGCCGTAACAGGAACCCGTAAAAAGAGATTCTATTAACATCGAAGCTTATATATTCGAATGCTCTTATTATATAAAAAACGTAGAGCTTATAAAGGGATTATATTTAATTATTCGTCTCAAGATTGCTTTATAAAAGGGCATTATAAGGTCGATCAGTTTAGTTATATCTCGGGAAGGGACTAGAAGCTATTATAGATTTATATTATAATATCTATAAGTTAGCTACTAGTTTAATAACTTAAATAAAGAGTAACTTTTACTTATAAGAGGGTAAAAGGTAGTAATTATCTTTATAATAAAGGTAGTTATAGTTAGTTAACTTAAAAAAAGAAAGAATTTTTATTATAGTTTATAATAGAATATAATTTTATATAACTACCGCTATATATGGCCTTATAAATTTAATTAATAATAAATCTTAAGCCGTAATTCTATATAAACCATATCTATGGTTTATCTCACTAGTATAAAGTTCAATAATCGGTGGTGGGGTGACTGTAAAATTCGATTTCTGCTTTGACGCATGAAAAAAGTGTTTTGGCGGAGTGCCTCTTGCAGTCTGCCGTACTTACCTTCAATCTCCCGAGCGGATAAAATCGGGCCTCAGCCGACTTCAACTTATGAATTGTCCGTGTAATATGTGAATTCGGACTTATATAAAATAGGAATTCCGTAAGAGGCATGATACATATGTTCACTTGAGCTCTTCAGTATCCAGTATCCTTCTTCACTTGACACTGCAGATTTACACGAAGTCCGCACTCTCTCATCATGCCTTATTTCAAGCACAACGACAACATCTCCATCTACTACCTCGACGAGGGTCCGCAAGATGTACAGGCCGTACTTCTCAATCCCGGCATCATTTGCGACCTCCACGATTATAACTGGCAGGTGCCTTTTCTTCTCACGCATGGCTTCCGAGTGATTACTCCAGATCCCAGGGGGCAGGGACGTTCATCTGCCCCCGCTCCTACTCCGGACATCAAATCATACCCTGGACCAGACGCTGATCCGTCCATTATCGACCACTATCCTCAATCCGCAGCCTTGGACTTCATCGCCCTTCTGCAGCACCTCAATGTCTCATCCGTCGTCGTCATTGCTCATTCTCTTGGCACGGCCGTGGCGTACCACTTCGCCACCGTGAGGCCTGATCTGACGCGTGCGATGGTGATACTTGACCCGCTTCACTCGATCCCAAGTGAGACCGTGGAAAAGTATCTCACCGACCCTCTGCAGACCTTGCAGAACCTCGCTATGCTTTTTGGACCCGCCCTGTATCCGCCAACGGTCCCTGCTTGGCACTTGACCTGGATCGGCAGACGTCTCATGGAAGGAGATATGAATGTCATTCTGGCCCAGTCATATGCATGCCAGGTTGACCCACAAGTAATTGGGAGGCGAGAGGTCTCTGCGGCTCAGCACGATGGCAAGATCAAGTGCCCGCGGTTGACGATTGGAAATAGCGAATATTGGGTCACGACGGAGCGCAGCTATTTGTCTCCGAGCAGTGAGCTTGATGAGATACATCTTGTCGAGGGGATTGGTCATTGGTTCCACCAACTGAAGAGTGAGGATGTTAATGGTTATCTTCAGCGATGGTTTGAAAAGATTGGTCTGATCCCGTTCAAGGGACATGACGAAGCAGCTCGGGCCTAGTTCTACCTTCAACGTTCACTGTATGATTAGATCATCGTCCAATAAAAACAACTCTACTCAACGAAACCCTCAGTATCCCCTCATTTAATGATATAGGACTCAGAATCACATGCACTAGCGAATCCTCTAGTGTGGCTTGGTGTCCCGTATTTGTGTGAATATGCCTGGATACAGACAGTACATGTAATTACCAAGGACAGATATGCAACTATATTCCATGGAATACCTGCCATGACAGTCGAAACAGAGCTTGAGAGTGGTCATTGACATCTCAATGGCTAAAACGGAAGTCCAATCGCTTATTGCCTTCATCCTTTGTTGTTTCCAAGTATGCAAGTCTCTGCTCTTCCGACATACCATCCCAGATCCTGTCTCTTCTCTTATTTCGGTATACATAGTAAGCCTTCACCAATGGGTAAAGGACCAAGTTCATGCAGACGATGCCGAGAAGAGACCGATTGCCGCGTTTATACAATGGCGCATCGTCTAACCTTAGAGTAAGCATTCGGCCTTCATGAATGTGTGATGTTGGGTCAAGAGGCTTACCAGATCGGTAGATATTGGAGGAAATGATTCCGTCGGTTTGTACAAACATGTTGTAGCAAGCAGCCGAGATGGTTCTTGACCGAACTGTATTGGAGTTGCGACTATTCCATCCGACCTAAACACAGGGGTTAGCAATTGCACAGAGAATAAAACAAATTCTACAACGAATTCGTGGACATTGATCGGAACTCAAGAGCTTACTTGAATAGGGTGAGCTGTAATCCTTTTAGTTTCAAATCCATAGCGTAATGATGTTGGTTTCGGGCCAAACTTACGATTCGGGTACATAAGAAGCAAGGTGATGACGGAGTAAAGAACCCATCTGTTGACTCCCGATGTGTCGACAACATTGAGGTAGATAAAAAATGGGAGTGCCCACACCTGACCAGACATCGAGACAAAGGTGAGTTCGCCGATGACTTCGCCCAGGTATGTGATTGCAAGCATTGTGACCACTATCTCAAGTGTTAGTCCGGCAGATTGAGTAAGTGGCAGATGTGTAACATGTACTTACTGTGACCAACGGTATACGGGATAGCGAGAAGATTTGCTTGGAAGGTATCGAAGCCGAGATTCTTCAATGTCAGGGTGAGGTATTGCGAGGGAGGCGTCATAGGAATTTGGAAGGTGAGGCCCAGTATGTAAAGGGGCCAGAGGTCGTAGTCTTTGAGACTGTCCCATAGCAACCGTGGAGTGATCGGCTCGCGATTGTGCATGCTGCTCTTGCTCGGGTCTTCGCGCAAAACTCTGTTGACAAGGATGGTTTCCTCTCTGTGTCATTTGTCAGTATCCTTCCCTGAAAGCAAAGGATGCTGGGGAGCACTAGTCCAACTCACCTTTCTGAGAACCACCCCTTCTTCCCGCGGAACCAACTCGAAGTTTGACAAGGACCCGCCGGCATCAAAAGGAAGCCGAAAATACCAATGACCAGTGTCAATAGTCCTTCGATGAGGAAAAGCCACCTCCATCCAGAATGTCCTTGAACGCCACGCATGTGGAGTAATCCATACGCAAAGATCGCAGAAAGAATATCCGCGATGCTCATAGCGGTCCAGAAGAAACCAAGTCTCAGGGACAGCTCGTGATGCTTGTAGAAGTACGACAGGTAGAGAATGATCTAGTGATTGGATGTCAACCAAAAAGATATTCACAGCAGAGTCGTTTGTAAGAGGTGGGGGTAGCCTACGTCGGGGATAAATCCACCCTGGAGGAGACCTAACAATGCGCGGCAGGCAAGGAACGAGTCTCTTCCGTTGAGCCAGAACTGACAGCTGGCCACAATACTCCAAAGGATCATCTGTGCAGGGATCCATCGATCGGGGCCGACCCATTTGGACACAAGCTGAGATGGCAACTCGGCACAAAGAAATGCGAGCTTTAAGACGGTGTTTCCGAGGTTGAAGTCTATGGCCTTTGTCAGCGATCATTCGTGCGTGGCGCCAGTATGTTGTGACGTACCATTGGTGCTCATCTTCAGATCTCCCAACATGTTGTCCGTGTTTGCTACAGAAATCACGCGTTAGAATTGCAATTGCTTGTAGCATGACGATTTGAGCGCACCTTGACTGATGTTTGCGCGATCAAGTTCGAGCGCCATGAACATAATACAGGCCCATATCATAATTCGAACGTCGATCTTTCGTACTTTTCCCCACGTCAGTAAACCACAGGGCGTCGTTGGAAAGGGGGGCAACTTCACTTACCCAAAGCATACTCCTCGGCCCACGTCCATCGGGCGAGAGGGTCAAAGCGGTGGTAGTTCTCCCTAAAATCGATTGAATGAGACCTGATGCAGCTTTGACAACATGTGGAATCGGCACTCTTCAGACTTACCAGTCTTCACGTGGCTGATATTTCTCAGCCGAATCTGGATCATCGAAAACACTCGGCTACATGACAGAGTTAGCGGTTTGTCGTGGCGTATAATCAACCTTTGTTTGATATATACTTGAGTAGCGACTGCGAAAGGATCAAAGTCCTTGTTACGCTGGAACCAAAACCTCTTCTCCTCGATTGGAGCCCCAAGAGCCGGGATGCCCTCAAGAGATACGGCAGACTGGTCTGCCTCCCCCTTCTGAAAGGTATTCTTTGCCAGAACGGTCGCCATGGTCACTGACGATGATGTCGGATTTCCGACTTGGTGTTGAGGCTGAGGGATGAGTGCCGGCTATGATGTCTCCTCGGAGCTTCACCTCAACGCTATATAAAGCACTGCAACGAAGAAAAGACGGGTCGGCGGATCTCGTCAGAAAATTCGGGATCGTGGAGCTCTTCCGCCACCGGGATTTCACTTTCATGCTAGACTAGGTGTGCTGCGATGGCGAATGTGGTCCACATTATCACGTTGTTGCAAGGGAGACAAGCGTCGGCGTCTCCTACGGCTGTAAGGGTCTGGAGTCGGGATCCATGTCCATAAGTATCTAATTCGTCCGAGGTGAGCCATAAGCAAGCTGACTTCAAGGTTCAAAGGGTTTGTGACTTGTGGTATGGGGAAAACAGACTTCTGTATGCAGGATGAAAGATAACGGGACCAGTCGTGCTCGACCGGACAACTGGGAAGGTTTTGACAGCACTCACATTATTGACCACCTAGTAGCTACTAGCATGCTACGACATCGAGACCAATTCTATGATACTTCTTGTGACAAGCCCCTATCCAACCTCGAGTTTGCCGCAATACGTGGTCCTAGGGGACATAGGTTTGAAGTACCTAAGCGCAGACTTTCATCGCCACGGTGCCCACATCCTCGGGCAAACTCCATATAGTTATTCGCACTCGCAAGGAATCGTGCAAGTTTCTGCAGCTTTGGAGACGCGTATAGCCCAGTCCCAGCTGCGGGCGACAGGTCGGCCTCTACATCCTCAATTCGCCTGCATCCTTGTCTGAGATGGGGTGGAGTGGGGGTATCCGTCCGAGGTCGCCGTGCAAGGAAACTAGAGTCTCTCTTGAATTTTCAGCTTTCGGAAGACTCAAAAAGTCCGCTTCGAAGCAACAGCCGCTATCGCAATAATTGCGGTTGTTTGACGGCCGTTGAAAGTTCACTTTGGGTCTGGGTTGGGCTGCATTGTTGAAGCTCGCCATAAGCCAAGGGTCTGACGCAAGACACCACTTCAGACTCTTATCAACGCCGTTAGGTTCCGTCCCGATCTCGCAAAACATCATCCGAAACCAACATCAAATAGTATCATCTAAAGTACGCTGATGGAAAACTTGGTAAATCTTGTAAAATACAACATACGGCATCTTTGAATTGCAGGCTAAGGGAGCACCTACACTGGCCTGCATCAGCTTGCTGCTTACCCCCACGAAAGCTTCCAGCCTTCAGCAATCCAGCATAAATGCTGGGGATTCTGGTGCGAGAAGTGACCTATGCTACCATGGGGCATATGCTCAATAGCGGACGGGGTCTTCAAGAGGTGAAATAGGCGAGGCTTGATTGACCAATCCAGTGGAACAACACCTTGATCACATCATTTGTGCCGGATCCACGCCATTGTGTAAAGGGGGTGATCAATCACGAAATGGGCTCGCTGGCTGTCACCATTCTAATGCACGCTTCAAGTTTCCGCCTGTAAAGTGCGGAGGTTTATCGAACATTCTAATCTCACCGGATGTCGCTTTATCGGGAGTTCGAAGTCGTAACCGCCGACAGGATGTCGCGATGACTTGCACCTCACTACTCCGCATCATGAGCGAGCCGGTCGACTTATAAAATGTCATTATTTGCGCCCGATAGTGAGTTTCAAGATCCACGAAATTGGGAACATAGTCACGAGAATCACATCTCTCGCCTACTTCCAGAATTCAAAACATCAAATTCAATCAACTGAAAGCATGGCTCCGACAGCTATTGACACCGAGGTGCCTCTCCACACCAGCACCAAGGCTTCACATCCGACCCCGCTGAAGTCAACCAACGCACTGGACCAATACGAGTCCTTTGACGTGACCCCAAACATTGGTCGCGAGTTCCCAAAGGCAAGCCTGGTCGACTGGCTCAATGCCCCCAACGCCGATGAGCTGATTAGAGATCTTGCCATCACGAGTAAGCAACTGGGCGTGACATTTATGTTGAGCGCAACTAATCCTAGAGTCAAGTCTCGCAACGCGGCGTTGTCTTCTTCCGCGCCCAAGACAACCTGACCAATGATCTGCAGAAGCAACTAATCCTCCGATTGGGAGAGCTCACCGGCCGACCCTCCGACTCCGGACTCCACATCCATCCGGTCCTTAACTCGGAGCGGGAGCTGGGTGGGGCCGATCCAGAGATCAGCACCATCAGCTCGGTGCAACACAAGAAGATCTACCGCAAGCCCTTGGAGGGCGAAGAGCTTAGCACCAAGAAGCAGTCGACTGCACAATGGCACAGTGACATTGCCTTTGAGCCTGTCCCGGCCGACTACTCGTCTTTGCGCCTCGTTGAGCTCCCCAAGACTGGCGGTGGTAAGTGAAGCCCGAACCATGAAATTCAAAGTTGCAGGCATAAAGCTGATACCTTTTAGACACTCTTTGGGCATCCGGATATGAGATCTACGACCGGCTCAGTACTCCCTACCAGAAGTTTTTGGAAAGCCTCACAGTCACCTTTGAACAGCCAGGTTTTGCCGCCGCTGCCGAGCTTGGCGGCTTTACGCTCTATGATAAGCCGCGCGGCAACCCGAAGAATATTGGCAGCATCCTCAAAGCTGTTCATCCCGTCGTGCGAACGAATCCAGTTTCGGGTTGGAAGAGTGTCTTCCCTGTCGGCGGCCATGTGAAGCATATCAACGGCGTAACAGCTGAGGAAAGCAAACACCTGCTGGATTGGTTTCTGGAAATCTTGCAGAAGAACCACGATGTCCAGGTTCGCCTCAAGTGGCAGAATGTCAACGATATTGGTAAGTTGATCGATGTATGTCTATAAGCGGAGTGCAAGTTACTAAGAGATATTTGTAGCTATCTGGGACAACAGAAGCACCTTCCACACCGCAACCTTCGATTATGATGACCAAGGACAAAGATTTGGAAACCGAGCTGTAGGTATTGGTGAGGCGCCTTACCAGGATCCCAACAGCAAGGGACGCCGTGAGGCATTGGGACTTTCTTATGTGACCGGACCATGATTTTGAGCTATGGAACTGTCAAGTAGTCTGAAATACCTCAGTTTGAACGATCAAAGTGCACCCAGAGTAAACCCGAATGTTGAGAAGAGCCTTGAACAGAAAAGTGAAGTGGATGTCTCCTCATGAAAAGAGTTGCTGCAATGATCCAATCCGTCAAAAGCCAGAAAATGGTCCAGTGCTGTAAGCGGACGAAGTTCGGCAGAAGCACTGACCTCAAAATTCGATGAGACGAGCTACTTGCATCAATCTCATGTGCTGTGCATGAACAGCTGACGTCACTCGTCTTCATCCTGTCACGTTTGCGCACGCGGGAAGACAGACTGCCCAAGACCCAACAATTCTTTTGAAATTTCAATCGCGAGGAGTTTGGCTACAGGGCATGTTCCTCTTCGTAGAACTTACATGTGGTTAACGATCCGTACCAACATTTCTGATCAGCAGCATCAGCCCATAGCATGCGGGGAACCGTATCCAAGTCTCTCTAAAGTTGTTTCTCGTTCTCCTTTCCCTTTGCCTCCTTCGGTGTGCTGATGCCAATACCCAGTACAATCAGGATTCGAACCAATACCATTGGCGCCGTCGTAAAGAAAGCAACGTAGTCCTCGACAGTCCACGTGGATCTGTCCAGCCAAATTTCCCAGCCTCCGACGGCTTGTGCAGTACCGTGGCAGAAAGCTGCGTCGCTCAGGAGCATACCTGCACAGAGGACGCGCCATAGAGTAAGATCATCAAAGACCCGCATGACCACACCCTCGGTGAATGCGAAGTGAAGCCAGCCGCCGCCGAGTTGCGTGTAGATGAACTGCGTGTTGGGTTCGTACGCGAACGCGTTGCGCGTCATTCCTGCGAGGTATTGATTCGGTGTGTGGAGGACCATGACGGCGCCGAGCAGCGCGAAGACCGGCTCGAGGGTCATGATGATGAGTCGATAGATGCCCGGGACCGCGGCAGAGCCCTTGATTGTAACCCGTTGCGAGGCCATGGTGTTCCTGTCGTTAGGTCCGATTCGCAATTTTGAAAAGTCCCTTGATTTTCAAACGAGAGTAGTGCTAGTGTTCTCACGTCTGAGTCTGTCGCGTCGTGATGGTGAGTGTCGTGCAGGGCAGCAAATGCAAGTTTGGGGTGAGAATTGACCGAAATTGCGATGAAAGAGGCAGCTGTAGCACTAGTAAGCTGCAACGAAGAAATACTTGCCGGTCACTATCTTTATCAACGACTGATCGTCGAAGCTTATCCCAGCTCAATGAAACACGCACTCGGATGCGCCGGCTGCGGGGTGACTAGATTCCGAGACGAGCAGCGCCAGTGATCCTAGCTCGTACGAAGCTGCCGAAGAGCATGCACGGCTAGTAGTAACCGAGATAAGGAATACAGAGTTACACATAGCTTTATCAGCATGAGTGCAGAGACCATCCGTTAGTTGCCTTCTATGGCTAGGACTGTCAGATGGTCCCGACCCCTTTCCTGTGTTTCGTGATATAATTAAGACGGGACGCGGTCTTTGACTGCGAAGGATGAAAGACCTGAACGGTAGCTTCACACAAAAATGAGAGAGCTCGCAAGCAGACTGGAAGAAGCCTTACATGAATGAGCCTGTCACAGACTGACGAGAGAAGGCCTCCTCCAAAGTCTTCGGAATGTAACCTGTACGTGGTCTGTGCAGTTTAGAGTTGCTCCGTACACATGCAGAGACTCGAAATCTCGAAGGCGGACAGACTTGTCAACACAAAATGCTACCCGAGTACGCCTTCATCCCACTCGTGCATCTACAAGCTTAAGCCATCTCTTTCTCGTATGGCGAAATCAACGCCTAGTAAAGTTGGTCGTTTCCATTCATCGAGAAAGTTAAGCACCACGGTAGAGGCAAGGGAAGCATCGGACCTTGCCTCAGTTTCATGGACTGTCGAGGTGGACCCAGAATGAAGGTTTCGGCTCCCACTTGAACCATTTCTACCGAAATGATCTGGCTAAAAGTGAGAATTCTGATGGCTGATTGTGACAGGTCTGTGCGAAGGAGTCGATTGGAGGGAAGAGAGAGAAGACGTTGGAGGGCTCATGCACCCTCCTCTTTTGTTTTGTATTAAGGCAATGTCGAATATGTGTGTGTGTGTTATATTTAACGCCGTGGCGGCAAGGGCGCAGCCGCCCTTGCGGCCGACCTCCCGAAGGGTATATGGCGTGGAGAGCCGTCGCCCTATAACTATTGCTAGATACAGTTCAAATCGTCCTCCAAATCGTGCCTTATGGCTACTATGCGTTCTATCTGTCCCTGGTTCCCGCTGGTGCCCCAGTTCCATTCTTGAATTTTTGCGGCTTAAGGCCGGATATGTCTGGAGAGGGCGGCCTGCCGAAACAGGCCCCTCGTACATGTTCTGATTTGTACAAGACCATTCCTGCCCCAGTACTTGGTTGACGACGTGTACTCGCCGCATATCCACTTTTTCTTGGTCGGAGGGTGTGGATATGAGAAAACCCTGGCGAGGGCCCGGAAAGGGTCCTAGGGCCCGGAAAGGGTCCTAGGCCCCGCATTGGGCTCTGCCCTACCCTTCCCACAGGTAGTTAAAGCAGTTGCCGGCGGCTGGAATCGAACCAGCGACCTCTGGGCTCCAGAGGCCTTGCCAGGTGTATGCCACTACACCACGCCGGCATGCCGAATATGATTCCTCACTAATGTAAATGTGTAAAGTACTCACTCATAAATCATGCTCTAACCTCTTTGTAGGGGGTTATCTGTTGAGATCTTGTTCGGGTCCGAAACTTCAACACGGATTGACCTGCCTGAGACTTTTGTGGGTAAGGGGCGTCAGACCATGAAGGACTTTGTGCGCAAAGCTGCTTGTGCACGCATAGAGAGACAATGGTCGGGTCTGAGCGGTTGAAAAGGAGGCCATGAGTAGGTATTACCCAAATACGTGCTCTATCTGGAATGCCTGTGTAGTATGATTCTGCACCAGCTGATAAATGAGTTGCAGGTTGGGCTTTCCGTTCTTGACGGCGACAAGCATCGTGCATGATTTCAGACAATAGATGCCTCTTATGCTGCTTGCGTATCTCCAAAATTGGCTACGATATTTGGTGACTCCAATGCCGCTCTACTTCTTGTCGACCTTGTCACTTTCTCCGATGCTCTCATTTTCTTCGGGGTGAAATTCTACTCGTCCAGATTCCAAAGTTGTCTCTCCATCCTTGGATCCTTGCTTCTGTTCCCGGAGAACCAAAAGGCGAATGCCAATCACTGCAATAATTGCAGCAAGGATGAAACCAAAAGTCGCAGGAAATCCGTACCCTGAAAGAGAAAGGTCGTCAGTAGTCTTTCGTGAATCGAGCAAATAAGGAGGGCCAAACGAAAGCCCATGTTACTGGGGTTTGATGTCATCACTTGATAGAGATGCAGCAAAGACTTACTAAAGCTTGGAGCCATGGTTTGTGGGAAGATGACTAGAGGAAGCCAAGCGTCGACGGCGTATTGCATTCCATTCATACTGCTGATTACCAAGGCGCGCTCCTCATTGTCGCCGGCACAAATTTCATTTGTCCACGTATAGCTGAGAAGTAGCCTGTCAGCTTCGGACCGTGGGCCGAGTCTTGGATGATCTATAAGCTAGAGACTTACAATACTGCGGTCATCAGATGCACGCTGCTCGCCAGGAAAGCAAATAGCTTCAGCTGTACGCTTGGAGGCCAGAAAGCTAAGATGCCGTTGGGAATCAAGGTAAGCACCTGCGATTCCGTTAGACTTGATTGCTTTCTAGGATTAGTCCCCGATCTCTAGGACTATGTCTTACCAATGGGCAAATAATCAATGCAAAGCGGCTCCCGGTGTAGTCGGAGAGGAAGCCCCACAGAATGATACAGAAAGCGCTGATGAGCTTTGAGCCGGTTGGAATCACGTTTCTGTCTACAACTGAGAACTTCTCCGCCTTGAGCCAGATGGCGAAGTATCCACCTGATTGACAAGATTCGCCATAGAGCTGATGTTAAGGTAGGTCGGTTTTCCGTAGCACATAAACTTGTATCCATGAGAGGATGTTGCACTTACGACATATCCTAAGACAAAAGCATACCATCTCCATTTTAGGAGAACTCTCTTGAAAGTCGCCAACGTGACTCCTGCAGGTGCCGCTTTACCAGCTTTCGTTACTCGGTCAATCGCCAACTCGCATTCTTTTGCGGTCAGAAATTTGGACTTGGTGGTGTATGGCGTGTCTGGTAGAACAAAAAATGTTGCAATACCGACGGGAATCGTCATGCATTACAACAAGAGATCAGCGAGTTGGTTCAACTCTGATAAAACCACATAGGTAGGAATGTGGTCGGAATTCACTAGCCCCACAGACAATGTATAGCCATCGCCATCCTGCGTGACCATGAGCACCATCGAGGCTCTTGTAAACCGCCGCTTGCAGATATCCGCCAAAAGCCGCACCCAGAGGGGCGGTCATGTGGAAAATGGCGACTCTCTTCGCAAGTTCGGTCTTGGTGTACCAGCTTCCAAGGACATAGAGTAGGACAGGAAAGAAGGAGCTTTCAAAGAAACCGACAAGAAACCGAAATGAGTAAAGCTGGCCGACATTCTGCGTCCCTGCTTGAGCAAAAGTAAAGACTCCCTATATGACCGCGTCAGATCTATGATTCATGTGCCAGCATCGCAAAGAATCATGGGTTGAGACTTACCCATCCGACCTCCATTCCGGCTAGCCAAATGCTCGGTCTGATCTTCTGAACAATCAGAGTGCTGGGAATCTGCATCACAGCATACGCGCAGGTATAAACCATTTGAGCATACGTGTACTCGTTGGCAAACATCTTGAGATCCTCTTGCATCCCCGATACATAGGCGTTTGCAAGGTTTCCTTGGTCGAGATACTTCATGAAGAAGCCCAAGCATCCTATGGTCAAGATCGACCAATCCAACTTTCGGAGCAATACGTGTTCTTCATGGCTCTTCAAATGAGTATCTGTGTCCCAAATAAATGAACGAAATGATCGCGAAGGCGCATTTGAAGGCTGAGGCGTGGTTTCTGCCATCATGAACGTATCGAGGCGCGACGTTGAAGACGTCAGAAGTTGCAGAACAGACAGAGACTAGGGTGATGAATTTCAGCAGGATGCAACTCCCTTTATTACTCCGCATCGTCCACTGGCCTGCCATCAGAATGATATTTCTGCACATAGATGGGCAGATATGCACTGATAGCACGAGATGGCCACTAACAACGATCAACACGGACGTGCAAGCCAAAAGTAGAAAGGTCCAACTGCCGCGGCTCGGGCGACAGACTGATGGTTCCGTCTCATTGAGAACATGTTGCAGAGCGACCCAGCATCGCACTGGGGCCATCGGGGTCAGTCCGACGAGTTTGGCCAATAGTAGTTGAGATGGGATCGCAGGGGATGATAAGGCGACAGAGGCAGGGGGCGATGACGAGCTCAGCCAACCACCCGGATACTCTCCGGGGGATAAGAATGTCGGAGTATTTCTACCGACGGAATCAAAGCAGGCGAGAATGACAATACTGCGTTTTCTTTAAAAGTGCGGAATGCTATCCTTTCACTCTTCTCCAAATACATATAGGTACTTGATGAGTGAGGCAATGCTTGATAGTCACGAGGAGGAGGCCAGATGGAACATATTGCTGACTTTAAATTTTCAACCTGATTAGAAGGGCAGTTGAAAGCTTAGTATCTTCGACCGTCTTGATTACATGCGTTTGCTGATGCTTTGATATCTCCTGAGTCCTGACCCTTCACTCAATCCTGTCTTGACCCAGGCAATGTCAGGTTTGATCCTTTGCTTTGTGTGCTCACTCAAAGCCAATCTCGTCTCTGACCTCTTTCCGCTAGCCCGTGATCATCTCTCGGAACATGGAGAAATGCAGGATATCAATCTCATAAGGTAGTCAAAAGATACGCCTGTTGCATGTGCTTTCGGAAGAACGCGCTACTGAAGGCAAAGAGAAGTACCTCAACAAGGAAATGAACTGATACAGTTTGCTGAAAGTCAATAGACAGGTTCCTCGACAAACACACCAAATAGTTGGTCTCGTACCTACACCAAGTGGATCTTAATCTTCAAGCTAAATGGTCGACACATTGAGTTGGAGGTTCTACCCTGGCACCCATTTGAGCAGCACAAATGGCTCGAAAAATAGTTTTCGTCAGCCTTCAAGTAACCTGTAACACAAGTGACAAACCGTTTCTTGGTAGACAGATATGTGAGTTGGGGACATGGCTGAAGACCAGGAATGTGAGAGCAGACAAAAACTGAATTGCAGAGGAACCTCGATTATCCGTCCATGTCGGGGTGGATGCCAGCGCTCAAACCACTTATTACCTTTTGCAGCACAGGGTACATATAAAATCCAAACCAATCACTTAGCATGAACATCGATATTCACTATTAAACATGTCTCGTTGTGTTGTTATCATGATGACATTAATATTATGTAGCTACACTACTTGCTATATGGCTTGCTCAGTAAACGTTGTGCTCGCCGTGGGAGCAGCTCTTGGCGTGCTCAGCTTGCTCAGAAGCCAAAGCCCACTTTTGGAACTCGCGGCGGATGGCATCACGGCTGCGGCGAGCGGGAGTGGTGGTAGCACGGCGAGGCAGGTCAGCAGGGAGCTCGTTGGCGAAGTCAGCGGCAACACGGGCAGCGGCCTTGGCGTTGATAGTGAGAGCATCCCAGTTGATGTTGTCGAGGGTATCGCAGGCCAAGTGGTAGCACGGGTCGGTGGGGGCGCCAGCACCGGTGAAGATTCCGGAAGAGGGGATGCCGAGCTGGAGGAAACCGACGTAGTCGGAGCTGGAGCCGAAGCCACCGAAGGCAGCGGGCTTACCCTGAGCCGCGATATAGTCGTGGATAGGCTGAGCACCGAACTTGTCGCCCGCGTTGTCGCCGAGGTAGACGTTGTAGACAGGGTTGATGGAACCGATCATATCGTAGTTCCAGTAGAAGCGAATAGCATCGGCCTCGGCCTCGGAAAGCTGGGCAGTGTAGTAGAGAGATCCGACGAGACCGGACTCCTCAGCACCCCACCAGATGAAGCGGACCTTGTTCTTGAAGCCGCTGTACTTCTTGAATGATCCAGCAATCTCGAGAAGCGCAGTAGTACCGCTGCCGTCATCGTTAACACCGGGTCCGGCCTGGACGGAGTCCAAGTGAGCACCAAGGACGATAACGTTGTTAGGGTCGCCCTCCTTGGTCTCAGAGATAATGTTCCAGGTCTCGCGCTCATCCCAAATGGCATCGACAAGAAGGTTTACCTCGAGGGTCTCGCCAGCAGCCAGACGCGCCTTCCAGGCGGTGGCATCCTCGAGGGGAATAAGACCGACGGGCACCAGCAGGCCCAGGTTCTCAGCGCTGAGGGTAGCAGAACCAATGTCCTCGCCCGGGGTCTGGTTGTACAGAATAACACCAACGGCGCCGGCGGCCTTGGCGAGCTTGAGCTTATCGGAAATGGCGCAGACACCACGCTTCACGAGAGCAAGCTTGCCGGTGGCATTAATGCCCGCCCACTGGTCAGCGAAGCAGCCAGAGCCTACGAGTGGTTTAGTCAGCCATCATTGTCGTGCCGTTGTTGACAGATTCTTCTTACCTCTGGTGTCATCGACGGGAGTGTCAATGAGAGGGGCCGTGTCACCGCCGGGGAGAGTTGTCGGGTGGTTGTATTGAAGAGCGACAACGTAGACATCCTCGCCGTCCGGGCCGGTAACGCTGATCTCGCGTGTTTGAGAGAAAGTGTGGTTGAAGTACTGGACCTTGGTGTCGAGCTGCTTGTAGAAACGGCCCTGGATACGCTCGAGGATGTAATCCGAAGAAGCCTTGTAACCAGGCAGACCGAAGGCTCGGTTGCCGCCGTTGTCGCGGGCAATCTTGTTCAAGTTCCAGAGGTTGCGCTCGAGTCTGTATATGCAATGTTAGATGCCTTCATAGAGTAGAGTCCAATCGGGGGATGAATACTCACTCCTCGGTTTTGATGTCAGCTTCTGCCTTGTCTGCTGTGAGGGGATCGGTTGCGAAAGATCGCAGCGCGAACAGCGCCGCGGTGAGAGCGGCGGAGGTCTTCATTGTGAATGGAAGCTAGTCTCAGCCGCGAGTTGAGGCACGAGATGACTTTCAATGGCTTCTTGAGGATTCCAATGAACGGGCTGATCAACAGAGGAGGTCAATTGATTCTGCCAGCGGCGCTGCGGGGACATTTATATGCTCCTTGTCTATGCCTTCTCGGCGCGCCAAGAGCATGGCTACGGCGAAAATAAAATTGCGCGATAAGACGACATGCAGTGACACCGCGTCATGAGTAGCGGGGGAGTTTCCGAGCTCGGGTTGCTGGCGCAGGGCAACAGAGCTACGCAGGGGGGCACTTTTGCCGTGTTCACGGTTGGCTCGCCGCAGGAACCTAGGCGTAGCAGGGTAGGATAGCTTCACAACGTCGTAAAGATGCTCAGAGTGGCGGCACGAGCTTCGGCTTGGATGAACTGCGTCCAAGGGTCTGGTTACCTTAGGCCTGCTCCTTGGCCGGCAGCTTTACTGAGGCATCAATGCGTCGCGGGCGATGCTACCTCTGGCAGGTGAACGATGTCGGGTGTTCTTGGCAAAGTACTTTTGCTGAAATCAATTGCGAATGTTGGTCTAAGGTTGAAGGCCATGCCTCAATCGATGCCGATGCTAAGACGCGGAGAGCAGGTCGATGAATGAGGGGCGACGCGGAGCAGGCGTAGAGCTTGGTAGAAGCATGGAAGACGTGGAAATGCGACAAGCTCTGGGCTACTGGCGGATCTTCCCCCTCTGGACTCTGTGGATCATCGTTGCTCTATCGGGCAGGTGCCAAGCCTTACGAGAGGGGCTTTTGTAGAGAGTGGCTGAGAGAAACAAGTCTAATCAGACCGTGGGCCGTGGAATATCTTACCTCTTGTTCGTTGACATGAGTCCCCTTCCCTACCTACATGTACTTTTGCTTCAAGAAAGCTTTAAGAGAGCCACAAAGTTACTTTTCAAGATCCAGTACATATTTCTCCATGAAGTGCTGAAGGCTGATTGTAGCTGTCCTGACTCGTCTGGTCCTCTGCTTTCAACATAAGCCCAAGTGTGAGTCTTGCACGAATCACATCGATAATCATCCGCGAGTTACCGCTTGTAAGCTCCTTGCGTGTGTGCCTGCATGCCGCAGCTACGGCGTTGCACTGCAGCTGAGGCCAAGTGAATTGGCTCAACTAGATCAAGAACATCGCGCCACTGTGAATTGAGGGACTCTAGACTCCAAACCCACATGATCTCAAGGTCGTAGGGTCAATTGGGTCTGGTGGTAGGTCACTGCACGAACTTGAACATCGCCGAGAACCGAGTCAACTGATCAACATGTCGGTCCAGCCACCCGACTTCCTTCCATTGGCGCAAATGATTAAACAGTTTGTCAAAATAAGGTAACAGTTGTCAAGACCTTTTACCACTGCGCCGCAAACTTCTCACCTTCTTTTGAGACCGAAAGCGACCCCAGTAATGAGGCGCTGGGCCAAGATGACGGGAAAGGCATGTGCTTATGGTTGGATGCCGGCTCAGAGACTTGGCAAAGTACAATGCAATCAGTTGTCTTGGCGAAGCGGGGAGTTGCTGATTGATGCGATAACATCCATGACCGGGCGTGCTCTACGAATACACTACCTTTACTTGCTTGACTGCCATGTTTCCTGCAAGATTTCTGTTCGGAGATGGCGATCGGCCCCACGACAGGTTAATCGCGTAGTGTGAGTGGGATGCCGGCCCGGTAACCTTCGTTGGTCAACAATTGGTAGATGGTGATTTACCCGTGGCTGAGGCTTTAAATAATGCTAAGCTCTATGTTTTCTCCTTACTACTTGATGTAACGAGATTGGAAAGAACAATGGCCTGATTCGTTCATACAAAATAAACATGGAGAGAAATGAAACGTGTAGTTGGAGTAGTTGACAGTGCTTTAGGTCCTAATCTCGTAAAGTAACCACATGGTGCTTGAGAATCCGTTCACCTTTGCTTCTTCTAGTCGACAGCTTTGCGGAAGCCTACACGTCTCAATGTCCCCAGAGAGATTCACCGAGCAAGTTCAAGTGAGATTAAGCTTTTTGACGGCTAACAACGATCATGCAATGACTTGCATTTGCTAGGGCCCAAGGTCTCGGGTCATGTTGGCTAAGGATTCGGGGACCTTGATGGTCGTGCCCTATGATCCGTCAAGCCCGGTCCTTTGAGACGTTCCTATTCTCCTTGTCGCCCCCAGGTCGCAGTGGAGTTCAAGCCGATCCTCGATTACTCGGTGGTCTACAGGTAGATAAGTCTAGCGGCCTTGACGTTGGTCCGCATTTTGAGGCGCATATGGAATGTAACCCTCGTGGCAACATGCCCGGGCCAGATAACCCTCAGTGAGCTTTTATCATGGTTCATGATGTAAAGAGGCAGGAAGCAGATTCTCCACCTTACTGATGAAACCGTAAAGGGTAGTCACTGCTAGCTGTTAGAATCGAACGACAAAGGCCGATACATAGCAATTTGGATTGAATGATAACAGCGAGGGTATTTTTAAGTATTAATGAAAGGCTCAGATCCCACACGCCTCTATATAAACATTACCGGGAAAGGGAGATTCAAACCTGAGATATGCACTTATTTCTGCGACTTCGTTCGCCTTCAATCTCGTTTGCGTGCAACTCACATCAGCCGGAGAGCCTCGTATCGTTCCTCGCTACCATGTGCCACTCTTCCTCAACGACACCACTACTTGCCGACGGTGCTACACTAGAAAGAGTATTCGCACCTCCCTGCTGTCCCACCTTACTCTCCAAAATCTTCTTGATCTCCGCATGCGCCACACCGGCACTTCGGAGCGTGGAAGGCGTAACCTTTCGATCAGCGCCATGTGCTATCAAGAGTCGAACAATATCGACTTTCTTTTTGATGAAAGCAGCTTGGTTTCCTGGCTTTCCTCGATTTCTCACGTTGAACTTCGCTTGGATCGTTGCCATGAGGGGCGTACACTGTTCCGGGCCACAGATTTCGGGATCTGCCCTGAAAGATTGAAGAAGAACCGACACTACATCTCTGTTTCCCTTTTCGCACGCATGATATAACGCAGTTTTGCCGAAAAGATCTCGAGCATTGAAATCCAGCGACGAAAGAGAGATTTCACTCCCTCGACTTTGAACAGGTGAAATAATCAAGCGCGTCGTCGACACGCGCCGGATTGCTCCGGTCTCCGTACCGACATGGACGCTGGGTCTCCGGGCAGACGTAGCTGTGAAGATCTCCTCGGCCACTTCTTCTGTCTGGCATTTGTGAATGATGTTACGGCCTTTTTTGTCTTTGAAACTGGCACAAGCTCCATTTTCTAGCAAAAGCCGCACAGCCGACACGTGGCAAGCCACCACCGCCGCCATCAAAGGTGTTTCTCCGTTGCCGTCAGGTATCTCAAGATCGTGTGAGTGTTGTATGATTTGTTCGAGAACAGCAACTTCCATATCGTTGTCTGCAATGGCGGCGAATAAAAGTGGACGATGGTGCTCATCTTGGACATCAAACTTGGGCCGGTTCATGTCATCCAGTTCTGCTTCGTGGAAACCGTGCAGGCGAGCCCATGCCAAGGCTGCATCGAACTCGTTGTGAGGCGAGTCTTCTAGGGGCCCAATTTCTTCCTCAATCCAGTCTTGGATAGCCAGGAACTCAGCGTGATTTCCACGAAGGCTTAGTACGTGGCGTAGAAGTTCGTAGGTTTCAATAATTCTCTCCCGTTCCCTTGGATCTTCCCGTAGCCGAAGTGCGATTGAGGTTTGGAGATGACGGTAAGCTCTGAGAAGATATTGGCCGTCAAAGAGTAACTTCCCAAGTTTGTGGTGTAGTCTTGATGATCTGGGTAGATCAATTGGATCTTGTATGTCGCAATTTTCATTCAATTTCTCCAGAATACCTCGCGCCTTTGCGGTCCCTTCTTCCGTCTCACACAGAATGTTGAGATCTGCGAGTTGCTCAAGCATATCTTGCTGTTCTGGTTCATCGAAGTCTTTCTTTCCTGCTTCCGCCAATAGCTTCCTGATCTCCACCACCTCTTGGAGATGTTGAGTGGCATTATTAAATAATTCACCAACTCGTAGTAGCTCCACAATCTCTACCGTTCTCTTGTATTTGTGAAGCTGAAGTCGAGCATTGAAATGTGGATTCTCCTCGTGTGGCTCTGAGCGTTCACTTGAAATGGAACCTCTGGTGTAATTGCCATTCAGTCGAGGTCTGGATATCCTGAGATTCTCGTCTCCTTCGAGGAGAACCTCTTCCACTAAGCTGACGGCTGACCTGCTCCATTGTTCAATTGTCCTTGTAAATAAAGAGTTATCGACTTCTGGGCCTTCGATAGCTACTTGACTAGGGCCAGCTAGCATGAGGGTGCGTTGAGAGACTTCGACTTCGACACGAAGTCTGCGTGCAACACATTGCACCTTTCCTATTATCTCGGTATGCGGTTGCTTCGCTTCCAATGTGTCGCAAAAACGACGCCGTTAATTACGGGCAGCAATTAACGCCATATATACCCTACGACACAATGTTTGTGCACTGTATCGAAAAGACGTCAGTCATAAATGGGGGTTTGCAGGAGATTTATCCTCACAGTAACAAGGTAGAAAGACTGAGGTTTAACATGGAAGTGTAGTGGCTTATTTCCTCCGACGCTTGCTGATCATCTTCTCAACTAAACGCCAAGTCCCATGCCATCCTTAGCTTCCGAGTGTGGCCTGGTCCTTTGCTTTCGATCGTATGCAACCGATCTGCTAGAGTTTCGAGAGATGTCCGGCAGTTCTCTATGACGTTCCGGATGCATGCGAAATGTTCGTCTTCCGATTTCAGAAGGTAAGCCTTCCTTCGCTCTTTATTGTTGTTGTTGTTGTTGTTGTATTTTAACGCCGTAGCGGCAAGGGCGCAGCCGCCCTTGCGGCAGACCTCCCGAAGGATATATGGCGTGGAGGGCCGTAGGCCTATAGCTATCACTAGATACAGTCCAGCTCGTCCTCCAAATCGTGCCCAAAGGCAACTATGTGTTTAACCTGTCTCTGGGTGCCGCTGGCTTGCCCGAGACAGTACTATGGTCGTCCCTAGAACGCAATTCCGCCAGTATCTCCTATCCTTCGACCCAGAGCCCGCAGGCTTCTGGTTTACACAACGTTCCAGTAACCGTCCGGAGTATATCGTAATAGGTAATACCGCCACAAGGGAAACCACAAGGGGCAAAACCTCGTAAGACTAGGTTGTAGGGCTTGCTGTTAGGCTCTGTAACGAGCATAGCTGTATATAGCCGTGGCTATAAATCGCTACCCAATGGTCGTTTCGTCTCTTCGAGGGAGTCTTCGATCGTTTAAGGGGCAAAGGTGCTGAGAGAGCGAAGTCGAAAAGTCGGTCGGAGATGTTCAATTTGGGCCCGGAAGCGCCACTTGCGCCGGGAAAGAAAGTCGCCCGTCTCCTTCGGGAGACTAGATGGAACCTCTGCTCCCTGCCCTACCAGGAAGACTTCGTCTAGCCTGCGGAAGGCGAATTCGAGTCGACGGCGGCTCGTTAGGTTGAATAATCGTCGGCTCGATTCGAGGAGAAAATGTGCGTTGTTAAGGGTTTGATTAGCGTATAGCTAATCCACCCCAGCGCGCAGCGGCAAACCGCGGGGACTGGGGCCCCTCCTTAGCATGGCACTAACAGCCCGTGCCAAGCTGGAGAGATGTTTCGTGGAGGTTGCCTTCGCTCTTTACACGCATCGCCAAGCAGCTGTAAGCAGATGTTAGCAGCTGTCAAGGGCTTGAACTCTCGACTGGAGGCGTGATACATTGCTCTGTGAGTCCTTGACAGACTTGATGATTTCGTGAATCTTCAATGCGGCCTTACATGTCGAATGTATTAGATCGATTATAGCTGCAGCCATCTCCATGTTGAATGTTGATATGACAGTATTCTTTTTGTGGCATTATTGAACGTAGTAGGTATGAACGATTAGCGCTGTAAGGTTTGAGAGCGTGAGGGGATGGGTGATTATGCTCCTCTCGTACAAGTCAGCATCAGACCATCACACGACAACACACCCAACAGACGTGGGGCGTCAACTTTGCATGCCAAGTTCTATCAGGCTGCAAACTTTGTCACTTCTATCTAAAAAAAGATGTCAGAAATCACACCCAGTCTCCACTTCGGGCGAGCTGTACGACCCAATCCATCCGACCCGGTCTGTCACAGAGGCAAGCTGCCTTGTTTAACCTTCCCCGCGACATCCACATGGGAGGACTCACTCCTGTACCCAACAGCAGGCCGGAAACACTGTTCATCTGAATTAGAAGTGCTACGGCAGGCTGTCAAGGAGGTGGCGAAGGCCTGGGCATGTGTTCACATGCGTCACTAGCCATTCCGCGGTCTGAGTCTCGATGTCCTTGAAGGCTGCGGTTCTCCCTCCGTACCAAGGTTCAGATCTGCGTGTCTCTGCACCTTGCACACCGGTATACCTAGATTTTAGTCGAGAATTACACATTTCTTTCACCGCTGACCGTATCCCATCGAGTGCCAATTGGCAACAGGTACATGCCCTTGAAGGGAACTGACCACTCAGGAGACAGCCAAGACTTCTTCTAGCCAACCAAAAAGCCTAGATTATGGATACTTCTGTTGTCTATATACTCTGACTATGAAAGAGGTACCAGCAATCATCCGAGTTACAAAGCGCTACTCCACACTGCAGGCACCCTGACCTCGTCTTTTTTCTGTGGGATCGTGAGTGTTGTTGAACAGGGCCTCGTACTGCGGCTTCATTGGTTCACTGTACCCACGATTCAACCAGCCTCAAAGGCACATACTGCTGAAAAAGCTCTAAAGGGGTAGTAGATAGACCCCGTACTGTTGCGGCGCGGTAGGGCACGTCGAGGGGGTTGAATTGGCCCGGTGTGCCCCTTTCTAGCGGAGGCGATTCGTGTGGGCGTACAGTTGCGTTATCACACCTCTCGGGCCTACATTGAGCTGTACAGGCGCTATCAAGGTCTTCGGGAAGTACTGCGACGGTGATATGTGAAAGCGCTGACGAATCAGACGCATCAGAGTCGCTTGAGGACATCGCGACAGTTGCCCATCTGTAGAAATGTTAGTTGTGGTGGTGAACGCAGCTGGGAAAATATAGGGGTTGATGACGTACCGTCATGTATTCCCGCGGTGAGGGGGCAAAAGTGGGTCAAAATTGGGCATAATGTACCTGTTGCCAATTGGCACTCGATGGGATATACTCACAACGTACAATGGCGGAGCAACGGGCTATTTCAAACTCTCCTCCAACACCCCCTTTGCGAGCGGCCGATGCAGCACCTCCAACGACTACACCAGTTGTCCCCGCAATGTCGCCCCAGGCTGCAGACTCAGTACTTGCGCCCCCAGAATCTAATCAATCTCCCGAGACTGGCATCGTAGGGGTGGCACTGGAAGCAGCTGTTCAGTCGCCAGATGCAGTCGTTGAGGCCCAAGACGAGACGGATGATGATGGTGACAGTTACCAATCAGCATCTGAAAGAGATTCTAAGACCTCAACTACGCTGGCACCCACCATTCGTGACTTCAACTTCTAAAACAAAAGGAGATACCGCAAGTTCAAGGAAGGCCGGTATACCTTTCCTAACGATGATGCTGAACAAGAACGGGAGGATTTGAAGCACTCCATGGTGGTCACTCTTTGCGGCGGGGCACTGCACAGTGCGCCCCTCAAGAATCCTCAACAGATCCTCGATGTCGGTACCGGGACTGGCATCTGGGCAATTGACAGTGCGTTCACCCGTTTGAGGCAATTAGCCGGGACCCGGAGAAAGAGACTAATGATCACAGTGGGCGGCGAGTATCCGAAAGCTACGGTTACTGGCATAGATCTGAGCCCTATTCAACCTCCATATGTCCCAACCAATGTTGCTTTCATCGTTGACGATGCTGAAGCAGAATGGTTGTACCCAGAAAACTCCCTTGATTACGTTCATGTGCGAAACATGGGAGCTGCGATCAAAGACTGGGAGAAATTGCTTGCGTAAGCTTTCCGGTAGGTTAACTCATTCTCACAACCTCACTCCGATGTCATCTGACATTCTTTAGCGCCTTGAAGCCAGGAGGCTGGATTGAACTCCAGGAGATGAAGTGGAACTTCAATTGCGACGATGACACAATGCCCTCAGACTATGCTCTCACCAAGATGATGAAGCTTGTTTGGGAAGGTCTGGGAAAATTCGGTATCGAGGCAGATGTTGCCGACGTCAACCCCAAACGCCTTGAGGACGCGGGCTTTGTCAATCAAGTCGAGGATGTTCAAAAGTTTCCCGTAGGCGAGTGGCCAAAGAGAGAAGACCTGAAAATGATTGGAGCATACTGCAAAGCTGTTCTCTACGACGGCATACATGGGGTCACAGTTGGCCCACTTACACGAGGTCTAGGGTGGTCTGCCCAGGAAGTCGACATCTTCTTGATCGATGTACGGAAGGATCTCACGAATACTGGTATCCACTCGTATGTGTTCTACCACTCTGTTGCGAGTCAAAAACCGAAGGAAAGTACCTCTTAATTGAGCTTCCAGGCAATTAATCTACTAGACTTTACATCACGACCATTTTGATCCAATAGCGGCGCTTGAGCAGGGTTGTGAAGTACTTACTCATCAAAAGAGCTCGTGATCATAACTTCACTCTCAGAGGCTCACATTGATGTCAAATAAGTCCATAACACAAGACTCTAACCTCATTAACCTCACATGAAATGTCAATCGATGCTCGATGGCCTGAAATTGGTATCACCGGCCCACTTGATTGCAATTCATCCAGAGTGACTTTCAATGAGGTTTTAGAGCAAATACCCTCTCCATGTCTTAGTCACTGTCTTCAATGTCGCCCCCCTTTGGTACCGGGTAGTAAAGCACTGTCTGGCCAAGTCCGAAGATGACAGCCGTGATCAGTGCAAATGATGTGAATATCACAGCCACCTGACGATTGTTAATCACAGCCCAGAAATATGAAGGATTTGATGTTTCTCACCTTGCCGTTGTCATCAAACCCTTTTCCTCTGCCAATGTCTTCAGCTACAGCACTCCAGACCAGGAATACCATCCCTGAGATCATGCAGAGTACCGCGCCTGCGAGAAACGCAACCGACAACTGCCAGGCGTAGACCTGCAATTTCCGAGGGCGATACTTCCACTCAGTGCCGATCAAGACGCGCTCCTGGGTACGCAGTGACTGCCTAATAAGTACCAGACCATCTCGGTGTCCAGCCATTCTATGCAGTCGAATGGTTTGGTCCGCCGCCGTTAAGACGCTGGCAAGCGCGAACGCGATCCCGCAGAACCAGCAGGTCCGCACGGGCCAAGGCGTAGTCGTCTCAGGCGGCAGGAGATTGGGCCACGATCCGGTAGATGTGAGGACATTCGCGAGTAAGGCAGCCTGGTTCATGTCTCAATTTAGCAGTGAGATCCTCGTAGTGCAAAAAAAAACAGGGCTGCAAAACAACATTTGCGGTACTTAACTCACCACGACGCCTACGAAGTTCAGTTCTTGTAGCTTGTTGTCCTTCCATTTCTCCGTGAGCCTATTTCTTTCGTCCTGGTCATCGTGATTCAGCAAGAGGAGTAACGGGTCGTATGTCAGGGTCGGTGGTGAGAAGAGACCGCCGCGGAAGATGTGGACGATGAAAGACACGGCGTTGCTACTCTTTTTCTTGACGCTGCGTGAAGTCGATCGCTTTTTCTCACCATTAGCTCAATGGCAATCTACGTGTATATCCACGCTATCCTCCAAAAGCATAGGACTCCATAGAAGCGGATGTAGATCATGGAGACGCACTATTCTAGCTGCTGCCTCTGACTGGCCATAATTGCCGAGCAGAGGGGTTCTTGTTTGGGGAAGTTCGTCTGAAGAAGGCATCGTAGCACTGTCGAAAAGTAAAGTTTGATGCAACACACTATGAGATGACGGACTACATGTAATCATTACTCAAATTCTCACATAACATAAGAGCCGGCGTCTACATGTAGTCAACTCTGCCGAATCAACCCCGCAATCTACTTCGAGGTCATGCGACACGCCCTCAGGCAGATCATACGTCATTGTGAATAATTCGCTAATCGGAAATGGGTTGGATCGGAGTTCATACTGCTTACATAACACTATTGAGCTTACCCTTTGCTACTCGTAGTCACAACATCTTCATTCCATTTTCATTCTATTACAACCCCTCTTCCTCTGTTCATGTAGTATAGTCTTGAAGGAACCCAGAAAACTAATACCTGCAGATATTACAACTGCCCCAGGTACACCATTCGCACAGCGTAACGCTACTCTTGAACAGCTTGTAGCTGGAACTGAGTCGCGTTGACCAAGTAGTCCCGCAATCAAGCCCGGGCTGGATTAATGAGTTTGCTTTCTGGCATTTTGAGAGCATGTAAAAATCATAGTGATTTCTGTTAAGTGGGTTGTGTAGATCTTACGAGGCAACCTCTTCACAGGCCGAGCTCTTTCGTCGATCTTGAGCCACAAAGAGTCTATTGCTTTATGTTCTATTACCTGCGAGCAGCGTGCACCTGACTAACTGTACTCTCTGCAAAAAGAAGGAGAAAAGAAACAAAAAACATGGCAATCACTTTTTTGTATCACCTTCCCCCCGTTGCTTGCAGAAGGAAGAGACACATGGCGTTAAACACACTCATGCCGGAAGAAATGTCGCTCACAAACATCCCCCTCACATATGCCAATGCAGCACCTCCGACACCAGTCGTCTTTCTTCGCTGTGGTTTGGTTTCCACACAAGAAACACCAAGTCGGCTTAGATCCTCGCTTAACCAGCATATTCGAGAGCTCCTCGCGAGCCAATCGGCTCTTTCTGCCAATGACCTCTTCGAGCACCTCGCTTCTCGTCATATCCTTTTCAAGCCTGGGCAGCCACTTCACCCAAGGTATCCACGAACCAGCCGTGTTTGCGCCCATGACCAGCATCTCGCCAGCTACATCCTTTCTTACAAAGATTAGACTCTCCAAGCCTCCAATTACGTCCTGGGCAGTCACCTCATGGCCCCGTTCTACTGCCTGTTCGAGAATAAAGTTTCGAACTGCCTGTCCGATAATTCTACTCAGCATCACAAAGTTCCCTTGAACTGCAATTTCAATTGTGGCCATGGCCTGGATGAGGTCTGCAGTCGGCAGTGGCTTCTGGAACTTGTCTTGCCACTTGCGAATAGCCCGGCCGCGTGAACTGCCTGAGAGCCCAAATTTTTTAACAAATTGCCCCTCAAAGTTGATAGCAACTCCCTGAGATCCCGTAGCCTTGCCGAAAAAGACGAGGTCAGGGGATATGATATCAAAGAATTCCTCCCGTTGAAAGCAAAAAGGGGCACCGCAACGTATGGCAGTTAGAGTCTCGTCTACTGCTAATAGCAATTGGTGCTCCGCACACATGGCGCTCAGTCGTTTGAGAAGACTGGGTTCCAAGACTCTGCCGTTGAACTGAGTCCCTACCATTTCAATAATAATGCCGATGCAGCCTGCCTCTCTGGCGACGAAGAGTTGATCTCTGAGTTCGTCATCAGAGACACCATCGATGTGGAGCAGAATAGGGTTGCTCCCGTAAGGCTTTGGAGAGCCTGAAAATTTGAGTGAAGGCTTCTGCTTGGCAAGAATGTTAATATGGAAGGAGCAGGTGGAGTTGAAGCGGAGTTGAATGGACTCTTACTCCTGATGTGCTGGTGGAAGAAACTGTTGCTGCGGCGTATGTATCAGATAAAAGAGCCCAGCAAGGCTTCTTTGCATGTATATCGTCCCAACCCATCCTCTTCAGCGTATCTTCTTCATCCGAAAAGGGGCTCTCAGATGACTCTGAAGATTCAGACATTGAAAGTTCTGCAAGCGTCAGAATGATTTTGACTACAGTTTCGGGATTCATGGTGCTGTTGGTTGAGGTTCCGTAGTGTATTGGCATGAAGCCACCAAAATAGTTTCTGTAATCATTCACGTCAGAGCGATGTGAATTCCTTGACGAGTTCAAACTCACAAAAACATTGCTTCGTACAAATTTAGAAGCTTTCCATAGCGGCGCTCGAGGGCTATACGATTGTTGATAAATTCTCGCCAGAGAGGATTTGCCATGGTGAGGCTTCGCATTTGATCAAAAGACAAAACACTTCCTTCGCCATTGTTGAAGTTATGATCAAGCTTTCTGAGTGGTAGTCCCGCGGGGAAAGCCATATTGTAGATGGATTCTGGTGTCATCAACTCTGTTAGCCAGCAAGAGGATTTATTCGAGTTCGAAAACGATTTATGTACAAACTTGAGGCCAGAAACGCTGGAACGAGTACTCGGATACCTAAGAGCGAAGGCTGCGCGGGCTGGAGTGCGTATGTAAGCCTCGCTGGGCCTGGTCTATTCCTGATCTCCGTAATATGTGTTTTCTTGAGGCTGATGTGGTGTAGATCGAGGTAGTTTGGACCATACTGGCGTGACTTATTTGACCAGAGATGGTGTGGAATATGGATGCCTGGTTGGTAAGAACCTAGGTTCCAAGTGAGTACATGTATGATGTGGCTCAAACGGTGGCCTCAAACCTGGACTTGGAGTGGCCACTAGTGTTTGATAATGAGCCTTCGCATACGCCCGGGAGCTGTCAGGTTCAATTTGGGTTGAGTTCCCTGGCGAAGACCGAGGCGCTCTTTCACATATTTGAGAGCTTTGAATAATGGGCTGCATCTCTTCAAATAGCCAATGATATGCTAAAGAGAGACTGTGGCAGAGACTGCGTAGACTCCGTAGTGGATGCCCTCGGCATAGCTTCAGAGTCAAATGGCTACAAATATCCCTTAAGGGGAATGAGAAGGGCCGCGATTGGTGGTTGATGAGCTTTACTTCGGTGCCTGAAGCATGGACCATCAAACGTAATGCAGTCGAGACCCATTAGGGCACACGATCGTGTGGTCTGGCCAACTAGCCGGAGGTTGAGCAATGGAAACGACATTAGATTTCAATGGTAGATAAACGACTACTACCTCTCAGCCTTTCATTCTGACAGCATACGGAGGGATCGGGCTTGGCTCTCTTTCGCCACTGCACCCCTTCGGCAGCCCACAGCACCAGTATCATTCAGACTGAGAGCCCCCGAGTGATGCGGACATGTATGTTGCCCTGGTAAGACCATCGCATATTCAAAATGCAGTGCATCTGGCTCGTGAGATGGCTTAGAAGTCATGTGCCACAAGACCCTGGCTCTGCGGACTTGACCGGCCGAATCACAGTCGAAGCGGTGAATGTCCAATGGGGCCGTCGCAAGGCAACGACAAAACTCAATCGAGCTGTCAAGAAGTAAGCCTTGACAAAAGTTTGCAGTGAAGTTTGAGAATGAGATAGGTACTCAATTAGGGATCACCATGGACAGTAAGCCTTATTGACTGCAGCATTGGGGCGAAGGATTCAGCTGACCCATGTGCTTCAGCACACCACCACGTCGCACCCTTGTATGTCAACCCTATCTGATCGGCATGCTGCAGGGTCGTCCTCCAATCTGCGCCACGGAATCTCACATCAATCTCCCTGATCGCCGTTCAACTCCGCCAATTCCTTCTGGAACATGACCCTGAATTGTGGTTTGACACCTGTCTAGGTCCGTGAGTGGCTGCGCACATGTTGTTGCGGAACATGGAGCTTCTTAAAACCGTCGAGATCGACGACACCAGCCGTTTTTCAACGAGTGATTGTGATTTAATCCACTTCGACGCTGATATTCGCCACAGAAATGAGTCTTGTCAAAGTGCTTGATGAGCGATTGGTTTGGGACCGAAATGCGCCACACATTGGGCACGATCGAGGCACTTTCAATAGTGGCTGGTAATGTGGCTTCAACCTCGCTCTCTAGGCGACAGATCTAATTTGCAGCGGGCCTTCCGACGCACGCGTTTTGTTACTTGTGAACTGTAGCGAAGAATCTGCTCCTAGAATATCGTTTTTGTGGAATTCTGAGCAGACTTCTCGTCCAAGGACACCAAGATATCGTGATATAATTATCCATGACCGCGGCAACCTCAGCTCGGCGCCGGCGATATCAAACGTTCTTGACTATTCTCATTGATTTGTATAGTGAGAATACTTACCATGCCAAGGCATAACAACATCCCAGTAGCGTGTATCAAACCCATACTAGTAGTTTCAATGCCTGTGTACGATCATCTCATCTATCGTTACTATTGTGAAGCTTCTTGTCCCACTCAGCTCCTGTTCAGTGGCTCAGAACATCAGGATCCTTTGAGAAAAACATGTACCCCGTCGACGACCATTTCTTGCACAAACATGTATCGCCAGAAAAACATAGGACGAGTGATGCATGTATCAATGTTAAATCTTTGATGCTCCAAACACTTGACGTATTCGAGGCCTAGAAGGCAGCCCAGATATCACAGTAAGGCCTCATACTTGGGGGTTTGAAAACGTCAAATGGTGTGGAAATGTTTTCTTTTTAATTGGAACTGAATAACCCCAGTATTAATGGTTATATAGAATAACGCCCAACGCCTGTACGCCCATTTTCGACTCGATAGCCCTCACTTCCAGAAGACAAGGGCGTTCTGCGACACAAGCTTCCCTTCTGTTGAACCCTTAATTCCAATTTCAAGGCTTGAAACTGCGCTCACTGCGCATTTCGTGGCCATCATCATCCTGACCGGGGTTACACTCATAATATCGAAGGTTGTGCAATAGGAGATAGAATCCACAGGCAATCAGAGAACCAGTCACTGGACCAAGCCAGTAAATCCAATGGTAGCTGGGGAATATCCCATTCACAGCGGCAGGTCCAAAAGATCGAGCTGGGTTGAGGGAACCGCCGGTGAAGTACACGCCTGCGGAATGTGATGTTAGTCCAAAACTAAGGGGGAAAACAGGATGAGCTGTCCTTACCAGTGAGTTCGGCAAGGAAAAATGACAGACCAATGCCTACAGGGGCAAGGAATGTGGAGCGATGCTTCTCAACGGCCAACATAAGGATGACAAACACCAGCTGGGTGGTCAAAATGACCTCGATGAAGAAACCCTGGGCCGTGTTCGTACCCCCGCCTAGTCCTGTGGTAACAGATAGGGGACCGGGAAACATTGCAGAAGCGACCCCGGCTGCACATAGTCCAGCAATGATTTGAGTGGGCATGATGAGGAGAGCCCTCAGAGGTGGCAGACCACCGCAAACGGTGAGGGCGAGAGTTACCTATGAAGATCTTGTATGAGATACATGAACATATCAAGCTGTGACAGGGCAGAACTTACCACTGGGTTGAACATCCCACCTGTGACTCGGTAAAATGCCCACACATTTGCCGTAAGGGATACGCCGAATGAAAGCGCTATGAAAACGATGGATGGAAGGTTTGGATCCGACCCTGGTGCCCCAAGAGGCGTGTTGGCAACTTGTGTGCCGGCGAATGAAAAGAAGAGGAAGAGGAATGTTCCGACGAATTCCCCGAGAACAGCTACTATGTTGTTCCTCGTAGTGTTGGCAATGTTGAGCATGGGTAGCGTGCCAGCAATGTTAGAGCTATCGCCTGAAAGCTGGCGACCGACTTTGGGGTTGGCCATTGTGAAACGAAGAAGATGCGTAAGTCAAGGAGAATGGTTTTCGATTTCTAAATCTGTGATTGCAAGCTTGGGAGCTCAAGATGAAGAATATTTTTCTCTAAGACACGCCTGTCCTTATAACGAAAAAAGAATGTTGATCTCTCCCCGGACCTCCTTTATATCTTCTCGATTCTCGGAGGCTTCCCTCCTTACGAGAGAGTGTGCAACTGATACATCGCTCTTGAGAGCGTGCCCCGTTTGCTACGCATATATTCAAACCCGCATTCGTCGCAACCCCCATGCGAGAGAGAAATCCAACCTAAAGCGGCTATGCCTCGAAGAACTGGTCGTCGCCGGTGACGCCACGCGACCCACGGCGCTGGGAGAGTACGCCAAGCTACAAGGCCTGGACTCCTCTTCGGAACGAGGTCGATGGACCTAACGGCAATTAGCGTACACACACCCGCACATGGTTGGTAGTCTTCCCCAGCCACAGAGAGCATCTAGGAGGAACTTGTCTCGGTTGCGGCACCGGTCATGGTCATTGATGGGCGTTAGTTGCGTACTATGAAGCGAGGACGTCACCCTCGACGTAGCTTGTGTAGACGGGACGTTCATCCTTGATGAGGTCAAGGAAGGAATCGACGACGATCTGATATTGCTGGTCTCAAGCTCCTGGCTAGTTGCACTTTTCTCTGTGGGTGCATCCAAACCATGGTGGCATCTCAATCCTTGGAAAGCAAAGTTAAATAATATGCCGGATAAAACTTCAAGGTTTGTGAAAACTTTCATGGCTGGCCTGACAGCTCCCAAAGGGGACGAAACGTTGAGACATTACGGACGATGTGACACCTGTCACTCCCCTCGTCATTGGATGGAATGCGCAGGCGTGTAGTTCGTGGATGTGAAACCTTTCAGTAGCAGTCCGCAGCTTCGCGCATCGCTCCCGTGCGGTCTGATCTAGAGGGATCCAGCTCTACAAAAGCGTACTTGCTGGGCGAAACTCATCCTCGTGGGCTTAGCGCCGTCACAGGGGCTTACCCTGTTCTCGTCGACATCATCACGGAAGCTAAGCGTGTGGAGTCAGCTGGGATAGGAATGCGAACATGGCGTCTGAGACACACTCTCAGCTGGCAATTTTGACTTCCACCAACGGGGCTAGTCTATCTTCGAGGAACACCAGTTCGGGGCGTGTGGTGTTGTGGCAATTTGGCGACGCAAGACCTCAACTCCCAAAAGAGTGATTGCGAGAGAGTCGGAATTCCCTAATCTAACGGTGTTACATTCGCGATTCTTTGCGTTCCTTCCCCAGAAAAGCACCGTTGGGGAGCAGTAGGAAGGAGTTCGATCTTTCTGACGGTTAAGATTTTGGAGGAAATGAGGTCGCGTCTGGCCCTCCTTTCACGTTCCTTTCTCATACGTACATGTACTGGCAGTGCCTCTCTCGACATTAAGCTAACAACGCCCTGTCCCCATTTCTTAACCTTTCCGGATGCTACCCTCGCTTCAGCCCCAGCCTCTCAGGTTGTCCGCTTTTGTTGATCTCGAATTCACCCCCGCACAGACATGAGACCTGTCACAATATCAACGAGACGCACCAAATCTCAACTGTCGGAGCCGTCCCCTTGTTCAACGAACATCACAAACCTAATCTCATCTGGGGATTCCCAGATCAGCCAGCCATCAGGACGCCGCCATCTGAATGGGTGTCAGCTTAGGGTGTCTTTGGAAGCCGAAAAAATCACTTTACAATCTCAGATTACCGATTTCAGATGGTTCCCGCGAGGCGTCGGGAGGGTCAAAGGAGCCGAATCCCTCAGGCAGCCTGAAAAATATTTGCTCCGTTCAAACTCTCGAATACCTACTTGTTCCCAGCGTCGTATTTCCCATTGTGGATGCGAAAGTACAACCCGAGTAGTTTACGATTCGAACCTAAAGCACTGACGTTAATGCTAAGCACTCGTGGCGTCAACGGAGGATCGTGGGGTACGACGGACCGAAGTAGTAGGTACAACTCAGTACTGAAATGCAGCCGAATAAGACGGACCGGGGGTGCGATTGGCGCTGATTCCACTGTTTGCGGCTGGTATGTTGACCGACGCGTGGATGCTCGACAAAGACGTGTCCCACTGCGATCGGAATAATGAGCCATTGTGACAAGCGACGTATGCGTGAAGTTTTGTTAGATCTGGCGATACTAAAGGCCTGGTAAACATGCTTCCACAGAGCTTGAAGTGATCAGACCAATTCCCCGAAAACCTAGATATTATAGGCCTCCTGACTTATGACGAGGTAGTAGCCAAATGAAATATGAAGTGATATTCGCCTATATCAATGACGTGATCGACGCGTTTACGCAGAGACCCAGTGTCTCAGCTGTCTATCCAAGTCTTTCACTTCGCATGAGTCGCGTACCTATGTCATCTACCTATGCACTCTAGGCTCAACACCAGTCCAGCCTCCATATTGAGCCCATTCAAGGCTTCATACTCTTTACAACAAAAAGGTCGAATGTCATCTTGATCAAAGATGCTCACAGTCACGGCGAGTAAGAGAGACATCCTCTATATCTAGAAGCCGTCACTTATCCACCGACTCATCCCGTCGCATTGTTGCCATCTCGTGACCCATCTCGTGAGCATAGGAACCGTCAATGACCTTTGTGTAGAAGTTGGGTGGGTCGCCGCCATTCCAAGTGCGTGTCAGATATCTCTTCACCAGATACGGCAAATGCTCCTTGAGCTGGAACCGTACAAAATTCTTCTTCGACACCGCATAGATGAGACTCAACTCTTCAAAACTCACTTGCTTGGTCTCCTCCACTAGCAAGAAAACTAACGCAAATGCCACCAGATTGAGGCCAGCGAACAGCGCCAGCGTACCCCACGAGCTCAATGCATCATTGACGGCAGGGAAGACGATCGTTAGTATGCCCGCAAAGAACAGGTTGACTGAGATGGCGACAGAACATCCCTGAATCATTACTTTGGTCTTGTGTGCGACTTTGGAGAGGCTGGACTACAGCTTCGCGGTGAGTAAGAGGAAAATTTAGTTGAGTGTTAGCAGTCATCATTTCAGGACCCTTGCGGAAATCTCCGCAAGTTAGATAAGTACTCACCTCTCAGAAGCAAGCGTAAAAGGTATCGGACCTGTAATCACGAACTTAGAGTTAGAAAATGCTTGGTTTCCTTGTATACTATAGCAGCACCGACCAAGTCCTGGAGAGTACAAAGCCGCAAACACTGACGTATTAGCACGGGTGATCAAGAATATGATACGAATTTGGAAGCTCACCTAATGGCAAGGAGGCCGAACAAGAAATTGACGGCACCTGTTTACGATGATAGGATGATAGTGTCAATCACTGGTCCATCTTGACTCCATAAGGGTTCCCAAAATTACTTACCGAAGCCTAAGCTATAAAGCATGGCGTTGCGAGGGCTTGGTTTCTCTTGAACAAAGAAGTTGTCTGTTGATGTGGTCAGTTTTCACGGCGATAGTCCCAATGTTCCAAGAGGATGGCCATACTTGAATAGAAGGCGAAAACGTTGACTGTTAGGTTACTCAGTCAGTCATATTCTAGACAAATCGCCGCAAGGGAAAGCCTACTTCCACAAAGCTGCTGTGCGAGAGCCACTATATACGTGTTCCGGACAGCATTTCGCAATCGTGGAGTAGTCAGAATATGGCTGTATTGCCGATAGGCATCTGATAAGGCGAATGATATATGATTGTGGCGCTGCCAGTTACTGCCGTACGATACCGCTTTCCACAAGCCGATTACCCGTCTTATACGGTATATAGATATGACCCTCATACGGATCTTTCATTTAGAAGAATCAAGCCACTTTCTACTATACAAGTCTTCCACTTGCTACCTCGCTTTAGAATAGTTATGAGCCCAGCTCTAACTTGACCACAAGCAACAAAAACCCCTACTATTATAAAGCGGGCTGCAAATACCTACTCTCTCTCTAAAACTAGCCCTTCTCGTATAAATAAAACCGTCGTATACGCAACGATAACTATAGTCTCGCTTCTTATTAATAAGAAGCTTAATAATCTTATAATTATTCATAAAGACTAGCTTCTATAGTAGAATTCGCTTTGCATTTTGGCTTACAAATGAGCCGTCTAGAAATATATAGACCCCGACGGTACCGATAATATTAATTTAGTACGGTCACTTCCGTTAATTGACAGCTATATCTAGGAACGTAACGTACTAACTAAAGCCGAATTCCTTAAGGCGAAAGTAGATTATAATTAACTCGTAAATAACATAGGCTAGTTATATGAAACTTACTAGATTACCTCTATATTAAATATATTATATTAATATTATAAATAAATATATTCTCTTTGTTTAAAGCCAAGCAATCAAAAATAGAGATCTTAAGTGTTACGAGCTGGACAAGGCAACCAACTGTGGCACAAAGCAAAAGCTTCGATAATGATGACTCCGGCATCATTGTCCCTTGTTCTGCATCATATAGCTACGCGCCCACAGTGACAAGTTGCGGCGGGCGTAACATTAAGTAGTAGAAGAATCATCTAAACCTATTATTAATATAGATTAAGGCTACCGTTATATTGGATATCCTATAGTCTATCCGAGCTAAGTTTACTAATAAGAATAAAAATTAGAAACTTAAACTATATTAGACGATATAGGCCCTTAAGGATAGGTTCGCTCTATCGAAAGATATATTTATAAATCTCGCTCGTAAATAATACCTTAAAGTAATAATTTTTGTAATATTGACTATAAACTTAATAACCTAGCTAAATGAGTAATACGGCGCCTTCTTAAACGGATAGGCTTATTTTATATTAACGTACCTGCATAGCGAGCGACGCATCATAGCGAGCGACGCACTCTCTCAAACCTTTCTACCTTATGTATAAGTTAACTTAGCCACAACGTACGAAATCAATTAAAACTATATATCACCCTCTTCCTCATTACTATCCCAAACCACTTCACAGGTTCGTGCGTTATGTCCAGGCTTCCCGCAATTACCACATCGTCGCGCGCGTGGTTCAGCACCTTCCGTACGACCCTCCTTCTGAGGGTTATTCTCTCCTCCAGCATTAACACCACCCTTCTCTACTTGTAGTGCCTCTGCTTCAGCACTATTAAGTGACCCTCCAAGACGTAGCCGGGTCTTTTTTGCCCTCCGGCGCTTACTTAGTACCTCTATCCCCGTACGAAGCTTACGGTTCTCAGCCTCAATAATAGCAAGCCTATGGGCTAACTTGCTAATACCTCTGGCCTGGAAGTCAATTACTTCGTACATTGGTGTTGGTGAGCTACCTTGATGTGCTTGGATCTTCCTTTTAAGGGAGGTAGCACTTCGTACGCCCTCTAGTGCTGTAATTGGTGTCCTTGGGTCCCAGGAGCCTTGGCTGCTTGGCCGTGAGTTTGATGGTGTTGGCGTCTTTGGCTTGAAATCCAAGCGAGAAATAACCACTTCAGGGTTAAAAGGTACAAGGCCTGCCTGCCTAAAACCAGCTCGTACGTTATTTTCGCCCATGGAAGTAAAGAATGCTGCTTTAAAGGCAGGAAAGAAGTCATCCTTTGTACTATGGGAAATCTGTATCCGCATCATCTTCTCGATTTCCTTGCCGTACGAGTACTTTAACGGGCTAAAGCACCCAACATCAAGAGGCTGAAGCTCGTGTGATGAATGGGGAGGCATACAAAGAGCAATAATGTTTTGTTCCTTGCAGTATTCGTCAAAGTCAGTCGATTTATGACTATTATGGCCATCAAGGATCAAGAGGCGATAAGAGCCCTTCGTACGAGTCCTTGTACACTGATTAAAGTGCTTTAGCCAATCTAGGCCAATATCATTTGTCGTCCATCCATTTTCGCTTGGATGGATACGCCATGTGGCTGGAAATTGGCCATTAATATACCACGAGAGGAGGTGATATTTGCCCTTTACGATGACGTACGGAGGCAGCGCCCAGCCATCCGCACATACACCCTGAATGACAGAAACCCATTCTCGATTGCCAGGCTGTTTCGTACGAGGCCTTCCCTTACGGTCAGAAGTCGTAACAACCTTTGCGTGCGATAGCATTCCCATCAGGAAACCAGTCTCGTCAAAATTATAGATATCGTTATCCTGTATCCCATACTTTGCAATTGTGTTTCGCACAAGTGCAAACCAGCCTTGTATAATCGTAGGATCCTCAGCTAAGGCCCTCTGATAGTCGATTCGACGTTGAAACCGCATTTTCAATTCAGGGACGCGTCGTACGAAGTTCTCTGCCCATCGCGGTCCAGTACGCGTCCCATCGCGTGCGTTTAGGAGTTGGTCGGCCATTTCTCGCACGTCTTCTTGTCGCGGAGGGAACCCTCGATCGATTAGGTCAATAACTCGTTCAAGAATCACCTCCTCTTCTGTTATAGTCATCTTCATCGAATTTGGTCGTGTTTCACCTCGTGCGACGCGTCCAGCGCGTCGGTGGCGGAGGGTTGATTCAGGGACCTCATAGATAGAGGCAGCTCTTCGTATAGACATTTTCGGGTCTTTTTCAATAGCTTGGAGGGCAAGGGTAATTCGACTTTCAATTGAGGAGGATTGCATGTTCGTACGTGGAGAAAAGGTGACCTAAAGATGAAGAGGGTAGAATTGGGAGGACGTGCGTCGCTCGCTATGATGCGTCGCTCGCTATGCAGGTACGTTAAAGGTTAAAAGATCTTTTATAATTAAGATATTCTTATAAGCCGTCTAGTAATAAATCGCTATATCCTAGGTAACTAGCGAGCTTAACGATATCTATAAATAAAAGTACCTTTAAATAGAAGTCCGTTTAACCCTAAAGTAGTATACGGACCTTCTTAGAGACCTCCTATAGATAGACCTACCGAAGCTTTATAAAGCGATAGGGGTAGTTATATATAATGCTTAGTAATTAAATAGAGCGATTAAATAAGAGACCTAATTAGAAGTGCCCTTATAAGTATAATATATACCTATAGACCCCGGCTAAGTACGGATTCGTCAAGTACGCCTATTGTAGCAAGTTAGCAGTATTCTAAAGAACTCTAAGCGATAAAACTCGAATAGTTATTAGAAAGCGGGTTAAAAAAGGGTAATAGGCCGATCTTTGTAAGATAGTTAAAGCGAAGAAGTAGACCAAGGGATAGGGGAGTAAGTCATCTACTATTAAAAGCATATTAATAAAGTTTATTATAATTACGATTTTACAAAATAACTTCTCCTTATCTTTAGTAGTCTTAACCCTATTCGTACGAGGTTCGTCTCTTAGTATATTCTCAACTCCGATTTAAACCGCTTACCTACTACGTAAGTCTATTATACTAGATAATTATAGAGGAACCTATTTTATAAACGATAAATCCTTATTTAAACTAGGCTCTCTTAAGCCTCTAAGAGTGTCACAGACTCGCTGCCCTAGCCCCAACCTTGATGTTACGCCCGCCGCAACTTGTCACTGTGGGCGCGTAGCTATATAATGCAGAACAAGGGACAATGATGCCGGAGTCATCATTATCGAAGCTTTTGCTTTGTGCCACAGTTGGTTGCCTTGTCCAGCTCGTAACACTTGAGGTTGGTGTTGGGTAATCCGGTGGCCGGGTTACGTAAGCCTGAGGCTGGATAAAACCCTGCATCCTATAAGTTATTCTGTCGCGCATATCCAGAAACGTAGCTCCTTGAGCTACGTCTTGTCAACAGAGCCTGTACCTGCTTAGGATAGAGCCTGCCCGTAGCAATAGATTGTCTGATCCGCCTGCCCAGCATCCACCTGCCAAACTGT